ATTCGACATATTTATCCAAAATATTTTAAAGTAACCTTGTTCCGAGATGATATTTTTTGTTTGTTGTACAAGACTATAGATTCCGAGTTTCCACCCACAGGCTATATTCAGGCTTAACACATTATTCAAGGCTTCACTATCAATGAGTTATTACTCTGAATATATGCAAAATTACAACAGGTCCAAGGTACCGGGTACACTGAGCCTCACCCGCATATAATAGCTACTTATATTTCGGTGCCTGACAGCGTCGACTTAATACCTTATTTATTGTAATTCCTCGCGCCGACTTAGTAGATGTTGTTTAATGTGCTTTTACCGTGTTTTCGTGAAGAAAGCAGTGTGAGGGTAATTATTTAGCAGTGTTCTGCGGTTTCGTTGGCGAGCGGCCGCCGACTTAATGAGGGGCTTCGTAATAACCCACGATTATTAATATGGACGTAGTTTACCGCGTCTCTCGTTACTGACACATCCCTCATGCCACGCTATTTGCTCTACCATCCACACTCACGAGTATTTCGCCCCATTATTGCCTTACACGGTATCTAAATTCCACAATTGTCTTTGTCTAGTCTACTCCAATGTAAGCTTGTAATTAAATGTGATCAGTTTACATTCGTTATGGTGCTCAGGCAACGTAATGCTACGAACCGCAAATGTCACAGTTTCCAACTAGTAAATTGTAGCTCGAAAGTGATACATGGCTCACGAACTCCCATTCCGCGGATACGGTAATGAGTATGTTGATTGACTTTTCATGCCATTGCCTCTGCTAATTATAGGATTTAATGGTATCCGAGTATTATATCATTGTTAATTTCACTTCCATTGAGTTTTACCTCGTTAAATTTCTTTTCGATTGGCTTTCTCTTTAGATAAACAAGTGAGATTAGCCAGTGATCATGCACGATACTGTGTCCGTAAATTGGACATTGACAAAAACGTCATTGAATGGTGGGTACTGTACTGTTGGTATCAATTACATTGTGGGAGCCTCATTAATGCTTTGAAAAGCGCGCATCTTCATTATGACGGGCTCGATAACTATTGTAGGAGACTCAGATGCGGGCGATGTAGCGGTGCGCGTGCGCAGCGTCCGCCGTGCGACTGTATGGCAAATACGTACGAGCAAATTGCGTCAGTATCCACGCACACACACGCTATTGTATCCGCCGTACTTTTCTCACGCTCACACACTCATGTACGTGTAATTTGCACTCGAACGTAGCTACGTAGTTGGTTAGTGTGCGTGTTTATCGGAAATTAGTTCTGCTGCAAGCATCGGGGTATCGGTGGAAATTGACAACACCACTGATTGTAACGATGGGAATCTGCGCACGTGTGCCCACATTAAACATTTACTTCACCAAGTGCCACTCCACAGCCGCAAAATACAAATTATAGACACATTTGACACACGGGCCTTTTGATTTAGCGTTTCTATACATTTTAATGATGGTTTCGCGCGTATTATGCGGCATTATCCAGCTAAACACCATGTTAACATGCCACTATGTTTTCCATTAAAATGCGACATTATTTGTTTAACATTGAAATCGTTCGTTCCGTCTGTGTGTATGTAAAAATAAAGATAGAAGCAAATTATAGCATTATGGACCATTCACCTCGACTCTAATTACCAGCTCTTTGCATAATTTCCATACACATTAGCACTGCGAAATGATCTACAAATTGCTATTACTGAGAACTACCATCATAATTATTATCTGTAATTAGTATTTTTTACTTTGTCACATGATCGTTTCGTATAATTGCAAGTGATGCATTTCTAAGCAGCATTTATGAGAATCCTGTTTGATTATACTGGAGCTAGTATCGTGTCTTATAAGAATTTCGTTTTAAGTTCAGTTCACTTTAGGAGTGCGCAACAAGTGGCGGATCAGAATGAGTTCTCAACCACCCTTTTCAGTTAGAGTTGACTTCAACTATAACAGGCATTTGTATTGGTATCTATAAGAAGCCTACTGAATTCCTTAACAAACAGTCATTTCTAATTCTAATTAAATTTAAACCGAAAAAATTAAAAAAAAAATAGTTCCTCAACCATTTTTTCTTCATCTAATTCCTAGCAAATAATAATAAAATATATAGTCAAACCACTTTACGAATAATAAAACTGAGCAAACACGAGACTTCTACACACATGAATCATACATAATTATAATTAAAATATTTATCTTTTGCGGGTTTCCAGTCATTTGTGATATTTCCTAATACTTCTAATCTGACAAAAAAACTTCAATCACCTTCAAGTCATATAAAATATGAATAAGTAAATTGTCAATAAGAAATTAACCATCGAACGAGCGCCAATTAGAAAGTGTATGCTTACAAAAAGAAATAAATAATATGTTTGTGCAATAAATATTGTTATTGCAAATTAATATTATGAAACCTATTTATAGGTATTATAGGTACCTATTCGGATGTAAAAATTAATATTGAATTGCATTTAACCTTCTTTATGAGGTAATATTCAAATTATGAAGTGCTAGTCAACCTTTAGAGATAAAGACTGATCATCCTTAAGTAAAGAGTATCCATTCACACTTACGGGGCAGGAATCGATTTAAAAAAAAACAGGTTTAGCAGATAATGCTAAAAGCAACTGAACAACAATTCTATTAAATATATTAATATCGGTGGTAGGTACAACCGTCCTCAAAATCCTTAACTAAAACTTCGCAGTCGACATTTAAAAAATATCTTAATAGCCAGTACCTACATAAATGAAAAAGGTTATTTATATGAAATAAAAAAAAAAGAAATAAGGAAACCCATTCATACGAAATGCGTGGTCTCTTCAAATATTTGCATTATAAAGTCCCGTTTGATATCAATTATCGAATGACGATTTCAAGAGCCACACTCGTCCGTTGTTGTGCAAACAAATGGTAAGGCGTGGTTCACATTACAATCTATAGGAAAACCAAGGTCTTGCTAATAAAACTTTGTTAGTATTGACAAGGAATTTTGTTCGAATTTTAATATCGCTTCTATTTGCTTCTTATACAACATTTGGTATTTTTAGGAGACCTTCCTGTTTACTTAAGAGGGTTTCGTAATTGCTTAACCAGCTGGATTGGTGATACGAGATTATATTTTTGAATATGAAGTATATTGAAAAAGACTTCATAAGTTTCCAATCAGAATAATTTAAACATGTGTACGATAATTATCAGTACTGATTAAATTACTACGAAAACTATTAATCATACGGTGACAAAATAATCGTTGCCAATTAATAAAAAAATAAATACTTACATTATCTTTAAGCGTCAAGTCTTTTCTCTTCTAAACTATCTCCGTGTTCATCGTGTATAATAATTGCCTTAGAAACGATAAATTACTAGGTTTCTCTGGAACAAAATTTTAGTATCTACTACCACTTTTACCAACTTTCAAAACTTTTCCAATCGTAACTTCTTCAGATTATTTTCGTTTTAGTTTAGTCAGAATCTAAAATGTTCTAAGTAGTACCAGTTACATTCATATTCTTATATGATATTGGAAATCCCCGTACATTCCTATAAGATTAATTGATAAAAAATTACTGGCTTTTGCTAAAAGTTACAACTTACTACAATCATTCCGAAGTCTGTATTTGTACATTTAGTGATGTTATAATTTAAATACTAATAAGTACTATCAGTGAACTCATCCGGTGTAAGGATTCGGGTATTTGCGGTAATGGCTACGTTATCACATCCTGGCTTAATCATTCATTAGTCAGTACTTCATTAGTATTGCGAAATTAAAAATTAGTCAGTTTCATTAACTCGAATTTGTGTAAAATCTTACATAACATATATTGGTCATCTTATTAGCATCGTTGAGGAAAACTAGTTCCTTGTACAGCAAATCCCTAGTTTGTAAGACAAGTTTCTTCATGATATTAGAACTTTACGACAAATTTACAAATGGCTTCGGGTTTATCAGAATTTTATTACACGACTGTCTACTAGATGTCTCTATTTTAAACAAACTTTTTATACAGATTTCGTCGTTTAAAAGATCAGTACTTGCACTACTAGCTATTGCCTGAATAATACTCATAATTTATTCTTTATTTGTGGTGTCATGTGACATTTTCATTGATTATCTCAACTGTCAACTAAGTAAATATATTATTTCAGTACTCGTTAGGTATTTGTAGGACAAGTATCTTTGATAACGTTAGATAACGGAGATGACGGCTTAATCTCGATTTTAACGAATTTTTATTCTAGATTGCCTTCTTATTTTAAATTGCGTAAGGCATGGATGTAATCAAGTCTTATACCAATAGATTTAAGGGCCATTTTACCATGAGATTTTAGTATATCATAAAACCTTTTAAATTTGTCAAGACCTAACTTTGTTGGTTGTTTAATTGTAATAGTGTCAGCATTGACAACGTTGACAAGCTGTCATTCGGATAAATTGATTGTGGTTGTTTGCGCAAATGTCAGTTAGATAACGATTACTAAGTATGTATTTTAATTTAATATAGTTATTGGTGATACCTATGGGAATGTATCCCTTATCTGTTATCGGAAAGACGATATTAATAAGTTTAAACATTTTGTAGACAGAGTATTTTATTGTCCGCCTTTGCCGGCTTAACTGAAAATTATTAAATCAAGTTCCCAACACGACTTTGCCTTAAGAATTATTACAGTATTTACCAAATTTAAATAGGCCACCCACTGGGAATCTATCTTTGGAAAACAACGTAGTGACACAACGATGACCCTACCCACTTCCGGCTGCGCGCCTGACACAAATGTATTCAATAGTCACCTTCGGCTATGTGGAACTGGTCCGTGAGAAATACGTGATTGTTTGCAGATAGTTTACAGTTTATAAACTGACGTTGATACCAAACATATATTGGGCTATTAAGCTAATTAATCTTAGTCTTAGGATCGCAGATTTTAAGACACCGCCTAAGTGCTTTCAGCCTAATGAATTGCTAATTCTTGATGTTTTTGTTACAGGAGAGCATGTGATGCCGGCCTTTGACGCCCGGCGCCATGCCCACGCCGCTGCAGCCCGGCGGCCCCGCTAGCGGCCCGCCCCCGGAGCGCAAGCGGCGCCGCAAGCGCGACGATCCGCAGAGTTCAGCTGCGCTCGAGCCTGACGACGACGACGGCGACATGAGCCCAGAGGAAGAACCGCGCAACGCGCCCGCGGCCCCCGCGGCGCCAACCCCAGCGCCCTCCTCCGCACCCGCGCCAACCTCACCTCCCGCCGCGCCAGATGCCGTCGACCTTACCTCGCACAGAGATTCTCCGCCGCTCTCCTCTGATGTCGAAAGATTTGATGGCAAGATCGTCTACAATCCTGATGGATCTGCCTATATCATCGAGGACCCTGAATTATCAGAAGGAGAAACGAGCATACCCGATCTACCAAAAATTGAACCAGGGTGTATCGTAGATAGTCGCGACAACAACGTAGTGGAAAGACAGCTTGATTTCCCACAAATAGCAAGTGCGTTTTACGTATCAAGAAACCCTTCGTTGTATGGCGCGTTATATGGAAGACTGGCAGCAGAACGAGCGCGAGCGAGACCGGACGCGCCTGTTATGCACAGTTATCGAGTATTTAGTTTTCGCGGAGGAAAGGACGCTCCTAGACCGCCATCTCCTCCAGCTGAGTGTCCCGTTAGCGTACCAGTCAAACCTATCCTAATGTGTTTTATTTGTAAATTGAGTTTTGGCTATGCAAAATCATTTGTAGCGCATGCGCAAGCGGACCACAGTTTATCATTACTGGACTCTGAAAGAGACGCCTTATCAAGAGAAAATGCTTCTGCTATTATCCAATGCGTAGGCAAAGATAAAGAGCCACTAGTCTCATTTTTAGAACCCGTTGGTGCTGCTGCGCCACCTCGGTTATCATCTTCGGGAAGCCCTAATATGACAGAATTACCAAGCCCATCATTGGACAAACGACAAGATTTAATGACAACCGACAGAGATACTGAGTCAATGTTGTTAAACGGAACGTGTGACGAGAGGAAACCAAGCCCAACCGCGGCATGGAGGCCGCCACGGTCGATAGCCGAATCTTTAATGCCACAACATTCCTTGATCTCCGTGGCACATCCACATACTATTAATGCTTCAGTGCAACCAAGGGCCAGTCCTAATTCATCCCCACCGTTTCAAGCTACACCGCCTGCCTTCCTGTCTGGCACGACGATAGGTGTCTGCCCAGATCATTTAGGAGGAAGGCCGTCTGGTGCAGATTGTCCAAAATGTGAATTAATACTGAACTCAGGAAGATTAGGTGGCCCATTAGCTGGTATGCACAGTCGAAATTCCTGCAAAACCTTGAAATGTCCTAAATGTAATTGGCATTATAAATACCAAGAGACTTTAGAAATACATATGAAAGAAAAACATCCTGAAGCTGAGACGAGTTGCATCTACTGCATAGCTGGACAACCACATCCTCGGCTCGCCCGTGGAGAAACTTACACCTGTGGCTACAAACCATATCGTTGTGAAGTGTGTAACTACTCGACTACAACTAAGGGCAATTTAAGTATTCACATGCAATCTGATAAACATCTAAATAATATGCAAGAACTTCAAAATGGTGGCAACCCTGGCGAAGGAACTCTACCACCTGCGCCGCAACATACTCCGCCAGGCCCACATAAACCACCTCTACCACATCACTCACCCTTAGGTCAAAAACCAAAGCCAACCTTCCGCTGCGATGTTTGTAACTATGAAACAAATGTTGCACGTAACCTGAGGATACATATGACTTCTGAAAAGCATACCCACAATATGCTGGTCTTGCAGCAAAATGTAAAGCATATGCAGACGTTGTCAGCTCTTCACCACAGACAACAAAGTCAACAACAACTTGAAAGCCTATTGCATTTCCATGGTGGTGACGCTCCACCCCCTAACCCCGAAGCTGCTCTTGCTGATATGGCTTACAATCAAGCCCTTATGATTCAACTAATGACTGGAGGCCCGGGTCCTTCCCCTCCAGAACTAGGAGCTCATCTGGATGTTGGTCTAAACCCAGAAGCTATGGAACCTCCGCCAGAGCCTGCAGACCCAGAGCCAGAGAGAACGTACCATTGTTGCATCTGCAACTGTTTCTCAACCGATTCGCTAGAAGCGCTGGGTCATCACTTGGCTCAGGACCGCACGAAAATCAGGGAACAGGAGATTCTGGCTTTAGTAGCTGGTCATTACGTGTGTAAACTATGCACATATAAAACTAACTTAAAAGCTAACTTTCAACTACACTGCAAAACTGATAAGCACTTACAGAGGCTTCAACATGTCAACCACGTGAAAGAAGGTGGGCCAAGGAACGAATGGAAACTGAAGTTCTGTGGTGGTGTTGGAACAGGTGGTGCAAGCGTTGGTGGTGTACAAGTACGCTGCTGTGCGTGTGATTACTACACCAATTCTGCGCATAAACTGCAGCTACATGCAGCAGGTGCAAGACACGAAGCTGCTGCCTTACTATTAAGACATCTTCGTGAGTGTGCTACACGAATTCCTCGAGAACGACCCCGAGTATACCGTTGTGCTCTATGTGGCTTTGGAGCACCCCATCGACTGCCACTTCTGCAACACGTTCGATCTGTGAAACATTTGCAGATGGAACAAATACACCAGTTACAACGTCGGTCTGAAGGCAAAGACCCAACTCCTGATGTAGCTGAGCTGTTCCAAGTCATCCCTCAGCCATCTGAGTTACCGAGCCCGTACGATCAGCAAGATAATGGTGAGTACTAAATGATACTATATATCAAGCATTATACGAACCTCCCCTTCCTACTTAAAATAAAAGACAATATAGGCAATATAATTTATACAACTAGATAACTATGAGTAGGTAAATAGGTACTTAATCTAATTTAATTGTTGTTTTTTTTTTTCATATTTAGTCCTGGTTTGTCTTTTCATGTCCACTAGAGTGGTAATAAGGAAATTGCTTATTTGTCAGCTAATAATTTTCCAACCGTGACTGGTCTATTGTTATTGCACATTAACTTCCTCAAGGCGTTGTCTCCGTAAGTTACAACTTAATGATAATAATTAGTCAGTTACATAACGAACAAACCCACTAACAATGTAAAAGTATTCTATCTAGAGGTGGTGTTTGTTAGTGTCTACACAATGGAAACGAAAAAACCATTCACGATCTAAAACCGATTAGATGCGCGTGCGCATTCTGCTTAGTTTTTCTACTTTGCGCTAGATGTCGCTCGTGACAACTTTTGTTCAATCAATAAACGAACACGACACAACGAAATATATTATTATTTATTACTTCTGTGCTAAACACATTTCGTAACATTTTTATTCTAAAAAGCGTAAAAATCCCATTAAAATTAATTCAACCAAAACCATTACCGGCGTTCGTATCGATAAAGTAATACTGAGTCGACTTATGAATGTGATTTCGAAACGTCACTATCGGTTTCCAATTTAAACCGATTCGTTCCTTAATCAATTTTGTTCTGCGTTTTTTCATAGTGAACTTCTTTCTGTGGATCGTGTCAACAAACACAACGATTTGTTTGATGTTAATTTGTGAGTATTGTAAGTATGATACGAAGGCACTTCGTGAGCTCCGTTTTCGTCAACGAAGGCTTCATTATCGTTTATCGCGTGACCGTCACTCCGTGTTCAATCTGAGAGGCAATCTCCATTTTAAGCGATGAGCATTTAGCGAAGAATTCGTAATCACAATAATGAGATAATTACACACGAACAAAATTTAATTTAAAGCGCGCAACATTAGAACAGGTTTCTTTAATAACGTACGCCTTACACGGTGTCGCCACAGTCGGATGCCGTCATTGGTCGGAGGCGGCTCCGCCCCGCGCGCGAGGGAGACGGAGAGAAGATTTGAATTGAGAACGCGAATTTTCCATAAGTACCGCACACGGGACAATGACTCGCATTACGTATGTGGCGGTCGCGCATTAAGGATGATTGCCCCCTTGTGATGAGGCTGCTACATCATCGCACAATGTCGCCGGCCGCATCGCCCCGCGCATGTTTATGGCCACGGTGAAATACGATAAACTCCAAGAGAAATGTGGAGGCGAAAGAAATCCGCCTTACACCATTGTGTGCCTCATGTTTATGCTTATTACTTATTTTCACCTTATTGAGAGAGCCATTTTAAACGATCGATTTTGATATAAATTTTAGGTTTTCGAATTGCATACGGTTCATTGTAAAACACAACGATGAACGAAATTGGATTGCGAGGGAAGATTGCATTCATTTAAATTCACACGATCTCAAAATAGGTAGGCACATACTCGAATGAAACAAAAAATGTCATTCAGTCTTGCGACATCATTTATGTAGCTTCCTTTGAATCTGTCACTGTTTTACCCCTCGGCTACTGATTCATTAGTTACTGTCCCTATCATCAATATGATTAAACCAGAATAAGAACCGGTTTATAATTTTATTCGTTATACAAGACCAGCACCCTGTTCCAAAAGATTTTATGCCTTGCTGTGCTAAGATCAATAAAGACTTCTGAGTCCATTATTCACTAAAAGATTCAAGATGATAATAAATATGGCAATATTTTCGATAAAAAAGCAGATGAATGTCCATTTATGTTGCCAGGCAAAATAATATATCAAGTCTGAACACAGTAAAGACCCTAATGGTCAGTAGGTCTTATTTTGAATATGGGCAATCTGAACTTGAAAGGGTTAAACAAAGTTCGAAACTCGATCTCGCAACACCAGTGCGCAAAGACAGTAAAACGTTCAGTTCCCATTGTGTCCCTGACGCCACATTGTAAAAATTCTGACCCAAATCTCGCAAAACAAAACTCATACTGCACAATACTTACTTTACGACGCTATAACGATGTGGTGTTTCCTTAGAAAAGACCCTTTGTCCATTGACAAAAAGCGTCAGAGATCGCATTTATGCAGACAAGGTCCTTTTACCTGGCCATTGTTCTATGCTCCTACCAGACTGTGGGACGGCGGCTTTACATCATAAATAATTACATTCACTGGTCACTCTGGAATTAGGGTCAGTTGCGCTATCATTATTATTACGTACTCAGATTTACTTATCCCTCTCCCCTTCATTAGATGTAACGGTTTTAACTGCTTAAAACTATAGAACGGGTTCCCAAACAGGGGGCCGACTGGTTTCAGCTTCGTTCAACTGTGAGATAATTTCCAGTTTTAATTAAGTGAAAATTCAATGAATTTCGTTATACAATTAATTTTTTGCATTACCAATACTACTATGAATCGATAATTTCACATTAGAATAAGAAGTCAAATTCAAAAATATCGTTTATATAAAAGCTTTGTAAGAATTATTTCGTATTATTCTCTATATTTTTTTGCATTTTGCGTTAAGTATACAATAGCCAGTCCCTCTATTGCTCATCTAATAAACTATAATTGTAACGTTACATTAACGAATCAGTTCTCCCTCGGCCGTTTCTTTCACCTTCCTTATTTGAGCGTAAACAATGCGGCCGAGCGTCTTTCACACGCTGCCGCGGACTTATCCTTGGTCAAAATAATAATTGCACGCTCACATACGGTCGTCTCGCTCGCACCTATAGTCACATACGTCAACTATCCCAATGCATTTGATCCGATGCGAAACGAAATATTCGAAACCTTTTGTAATAATGAACAATGATTGTTTGCTCGTCCTGTATCTTCTTTGTATGCAAAATTACAATATACTTGTTACGTTAACATTAATACATTTGTGAATGTGTGCGTACGGGATGGATAGAGCGATACCTTTGTCTTGCCGGGACGTCGCAAACAAAACGAGTCCTACTAATAATATAAAAGAGAAGAATTTTATTTTTAACTTCAATTCAGAAAAGTAACAAACGCTCGCACCGAACAATAGTCAGCTTCATTTATAGAAATAATCTTTTTTGTAGATAAATCTCACGTAGACGTAGGTAGACATTATGGATTTACGGTGTACAGATTTGTATCCATTCGGCTCGCAGATTCCGTAGCGGGAGGTTCGTTGTGAACTACTTAGATTTATTCAAGTTATGTATGTAAACAAATGTTTTCATTGTTTGTTTTTTGTCAACAGACACTAAGGAGCCGATCGACCAGAAACCTGAGTTAACTCAAGAACAAAAGATGATGAGATTTTTGGAACAACATCAGCAGCAACAACAACAACAACAACAACCGCAACAACAACCAAATCAAGTCGTATCTCAACAGATTCAGCAAAGCTCCAATGAGAGGGAGGAAGAACGCGAGACTCCAGGACCACACGCGTGTCCTTATTGTAATTTTAGTTGCTCGAACGAGTCTCGCCTACACGCACATGTCACCTCCGTACATGGCGACCCGTCTCGACATTTCATTTGCCCTCTTTGCCAAGATGGCTTCAAGGAACGACCAGCCCTTGAACGGCACGTCATGCAAATCCATTCAGTTAACTCAGAAGGGCTACAAAGATTGCTATTACTTGTTGATCAGAGCCACTGGTTGAATGGTGGGGCCCAATCCCAAAGGGATGAATCTCGACAAGGTGATGATGAGCGGGAAATATCCTCACCACGATCGGAAGGAAGTGCTGATGGTGAAACTGAGAGATGTTCGACATGTAACCGCACCTTTAGGAACGTCGATGAATTATGTCAGCACCAGAATGAATCTGGCCACCTTGAACTGAAACAAACACCCCAGGGGCCAGGTTACGTCTGTTGGAAGAAAGGATGCAATCGATACTTTGACGCAGCTCATGCACTACAAAACCATTTCCGAGAAGCACATGCGCGTAACTCTATTGCAAACATGTCAGTGTCTGAGAAACATGTGTACAAGTACCGTTGCAATCAGTGCAGTCTTGCGTTTAAGACAATTGAAAAATTACAGCTACATTCACAATATCATGTTATCAGAGATGCAACTAAGTGTGTGCTGTGCGGTAGGAGCTTTAGATCTGTGCTAGCACTGCAGAAGCACGTTGAAACGTCCCACCCTGAATTATCTGAAGAAGAACTGAGTGCCTTCAAACGCAGCTTAGCGTCGAATCCTTTATTACAAGCTGCACAAGGCACAGCTTTAGATGCTGCTACTGCGGAGCTTTTACGTAAAGAAGCATTGAGAACTCCAGACGATGACCTCGCTGATGTCGAAGATAGAGATTCTAGCGCAACAGTTGCTGATGAGTCTGGACATAATGATGCTGAAAACTCGGATGATTCAATCATTTACAAAGACCAACAATTCTTGGAAGATTACTTAAATTCCCAAGCAATGGCCGAAGATTCCTACAACGATCCAAATAGAAAATATAAGTGTCACAGGTGCAAGGTTGCGTTTACACGACAATCTTATTTGACTGCACATAATAAGACACTTCTCCACAGAAAAGGTGAAAAGCTAACCTACCCCATGGAAAAATATCTAGACCCAAACAGACCATTCAAATGTGACGTATGCAAGGAATCGTTCACGCAAAAGAATATTTTACTTGTTCACTACAATAGCGTGAGCCATTTACATAAATTGAAACGGGCTATGCAAGAACAACAGAACAATAACAATCCTCCCGTGTCGCCCGGGGCGGGTTCTGCGCCATCTAATTTGACACTTACACCCAAGAGTACATCGAGCGAGGAGGATGACCGCAAACGGTACAAATGTAACATTTGTAAAGTTGCGTACACACAGGGCAGTACACTCGACATACACATGAGATCGGTGCTACATCAAACGCGTGCTGGCAAGTTGCAAGAACTAGCCGCAGCTGGACACGTGGATTTGTCACGGCCCCTAGTGGAGCAGCCTGACCGTACCGACCCCGCCAAAATATTACAAGACGTGTTGTCGCCGAAAAATACATCCCCTTCGTCTACAAGCAGCGGGGGGCCCCGTTCCTCACCCCCTGCACGCCCAGGTAGCCCGCGTTCGCCCCGCGCAGGTAACACTACGTGCGAACGCTGTCAGACGTCATTCCCAAACGGGGAGCTACTCGAGGCACATCGAGCGACGTCATGTCCGTACGGCGATGCGCGGGCGCATTCGCCGCTAGGCGAAGCTGAAACAGCTGCACTTGACGAGATGGTGGCCAAGGGCAACCCGCCCAAACGTAACTCCCAAATGTATAAGCAACTATTAGAAACATTCGGATTCGACCTCGTCATGCAATACAATGAAAACCAACGAAGAAAAATGCAAGAAGAACGAGAGATGGCGCGTGTACCAAGTCCACCGCCACCGCCTCCTGAAGAAAAGCCGCCGGACGGTGAATCCAAATCCACGTGTCAACATTGCAATAAGGAATTTTCAAGTGTATTTGTTCTTAAAACCCATTGTGAGGAAGTGCACAAGGATAAAGTACCTCTAGAATTTCTAGAGCAGTTTGCGGAACAGTTTAAATCGGAATATGAAAGGAAGTCTGGTGCACCTAACTCGCCTCGTGCTGCCTCTCCCGCGCCACAGGGTGACAGGTCACCGTCTCCACGTGGTGACAATAGTGGAAACTTTAATGAAAATGGAAGTGCACAAGGTGAAGCGCCAGCTGGAGTGCTGCTGGCTGCTCAAGTGCAAGAGATGCAAGCAGCGCTTAACATGCTTCAGCTACAACAACAGCTGGGGCAGCTGCACCCAATGGTAGCTCAAATGTTATCGTTGGGTCTGCCTCTAGGTTTGAACGTCGGAGCACTGGCTGCTATGAACCTACAACCACCATTGGTGCCGCTAATGCTGCCGCCTCCTCCCTTCGATGCAATGCCCTTTGCACACGATGCCCAGATGAAACAACAGCAACTATTACAGCAGCAGCAACAGGTAAGTCTTAAACATTTGTTTTAATATTTCAATATAACATTTCATCATTAGTTGAATCCACAGTTCATTACTTAAACATCAGATGATCAGATAATGACATTTTGCTTAAATATTCACTTCTTATATAACTTTACATAAATATCTAGATATTATACAAATAACTACGAGATAGATCGTGATACCATATTAACGCCAATTTACTTTAACATCGTATTCTGTACTAGAATAATAACTAAACCTCCTACAAATTCTTATATACCTGTTACTGATTGTAGTCTAATTGGAATTAATTATATACGTAACATAAATTACCATAACCTATGTACCTATATATAGGTCACATAATGTCACGCATTTAATTCATTGCTATTGTTGCTTACAGTTTCAGTTAGATTAATATTACGCATTAACTCTTTTACTAAATAAAAAGTCATCACTCGAACAGACTAGTATTGTTCAGTCATATCAGCCCAGCCCAGATCACTACCGGGTACAAGCTCCCCCTTTCTTAGTTTTGTGCATCTCTCCTCCATCTGTTTTTATTATAATAAACAGCTTTTACTTAAATAAATATAAATGTAAAAATGACTTACTATAACTTACGCAATCATTTAATAAAATTCCATTACCTCAAACGTTTAATTCAGCCGAGACGTACAAATAACAAGTATTTACTTATACAAACACAAGGCTTCGCATTGATTATTTTCGTCAGTTACTGTGTAAATTCGATCGTGGGCAATAAGGATATCTACGACGGCGTCGTATTGTGAGATAAGCTCGACGATTTACGTTAGCTATCTGTTTGCACAAGGCGACAGGGAATCTATTGTTGTATGAAGGGTCCGACCATTATTATTAGTAACGACTTCCCTTAGCATTCGGACTTACCTGCTTAATATCGTTGTTGATAAATGAACCCTTTAACAACTGAAAACTCGTTTCGTTTCTTTTGCTTCAATGCTCGTCTTTAATATAGATTTCTTTTGTTTGCAGGCTAACGCTGCAGCTGGACAAAAGAGAGCGCGTACACGCATCACTGACGAACAACTGAAAATTTTGAGAGCGCACTTCGACATTAACAATTCGCCTAGCGATGAGGCTATCGCAAAAATGGCCCAGCAGTCTGGACTCGCTACCAAGGTAATCAAACATTGGTTCAGAAATACTCTTTTCAAGGAGCGACAGCGAAACAAAGATTCACCTTATAATTTCAACAACCCTCCTTCTACGACCCTTAATTTGGAAGAGTATGAAAAGACCGGAGAGGCTAAAGTAACAACTTTAGATTCGTCAGCAAGTTCTGATGAAGGAAAGCCACCACCTGAAAAAAAGGCAAAAATTGAAGACGCAAATATGATAATGCAACAAGAAGTCAAGTCGGAACCTAACGATGAGCCGACGATGGAGGAAAAATACAATTCATATGACGATCGACACCAAGAAGATAAAAGTTTTATCTTTCCTCAAGCACCATCGCAGAGCCCTGCGCCTATGATTCAAAACAATGATCACCATCATCAAAATAAATCGCGACCCCAAACGCCAACGCATATTTCGCTAAACTCTCTGATTCAATCTCAATTAGATTCAATTCCAGCCACCAGTATACCACAGCCGCCTCATCCATCAATGTTACCACCAAAACTGAATCCTAGTTTCACGTCCCCAAACTCCGCGCCCCCGAACGTCCTACCTATGACCCCGAATCGCAGCCTCAGCCCTGGCAGGGGGCCGGCCGATTTCGGACTTTCCGGGGGCAATTCGAACGGATCCAACAGCTCAACGGGGTCTTCTGGCAAACGCGCCAACAGAACTAGATTTACTGATTATCAAATCAAAGTATTGCAAGAGTTTTTTGAAAATAACGCATATCCCAAAGATGATGATCTCGAATATTTGTCAAAATTATTGGGATTAAGTCCTAGAGTAATTGTGGTCTGGTTTCAAAATGCTCGCCAAAAAGCTAGAAAAGTTTATGAAAACCAACCAGCCGCAGATCCACCTGCGAGTGCCACGGATGATGCCAATAGATTTCAGCGTACTCCAGGTCTTAACTACCAATGTAAAAAGTGCCAATTAGTATTCCAAAGGTACTATGAACTAATAAGACATCAGAAGACCCATTGCTTTAAAGAAGAAGATGCGAAAAGATCAGCACAAGCACAGGCGGCAGCGGCTCAAGTTGCAGCTACATTAAGCAGTGAGGATTCCAACTCGAGCAATGTCGAACATCACCCACCTCACGTGCCAGTCTCACCTGCGCCGCCTCGTACGCCAACTCCGGCAGCGCCTAACTACCCAGTATCACCAGCACCGCCTGCGCCGTTAACACCTGTTACCCCACTATCGCACACACCTCGTGAGGAAAAAGATGGAAATTTCCAGTGTGATAAATGCAACCTAGTCTTCCCTCGTTTTGACTTATGGCGAGAACATCAACTAGTTCACATAATGAACCCAAACTTATTTCCCACATACCCGCCTGATTCCCCTTTTGGAATTTTGCAACAACATGCACAGCTACAACAACTAAATGCAAGCCTTGGCAGTGATGAAGCTCGACATCCTTTAGTAGCGGCTCTAAACCAACAAGTCGCTAAGAGAAAGTTCGATGAGTACGAAGAAGTCGAAACAGGTGAACAGCCTAAGGACAAACGCTTAAGAACTACAATTTTACCTGAACAACTGGATTACCTCTACCAAAAATACCAAATAGAATCTAATCCATCTCGTAAAATGCTTGAAAATATAGCACGCGAAGTGGGACTAAAAAAAAGAGTGGTACAAGTTTGGTTTCAAAATACACGAGCACGTGAGAGGAAAGGACAATTTCGTGCGCATGCACAAGTCATAAATAAACGATGTCCCTTTTGTCCAGCTTTGTTCAAGGTAAAGAGCGCACTAGAAAGTCATTTGAGCACCAAGCACGCGGACCAGTGTGCGAGAGGTGAAATCAATGTAGACGCACTACCTGATGAAGAATTGAGCACAGAATCAACCCCAAGTTTTGGTTCTCAACAAAGTGATCGGCAGCAAAATTTTTCCCAAGCGGGGGCCCCCATGTTGCCCCCTATTTTTCCACCTTTTCACTCAGACATGGAGAAATTTATCAAGCAGTACAGTGAAGAATCTATGAAACGCTATGTAAGTGAACTACAAGCGCATGCTGCCGCTCAACAAAATGGTGGCGGAAATAACGATGCAAGTGACCGACGTCCCGAGCATGGGAAATCAGAGATACCATTAGATCTCAGTAAACCAGTTGATCTGTCAAGACCTGGATCTGATGCCGACGAGCGCTCCGACACCGCTTCGGAAACAATGGAGTTTTACGAAGAAGACGAGCCCACATCGCCTCTTCCTGGCCAGCAACAAGCGGCACGGCCGCCGGGCAAACGTTACCGCACGCAAATGTCATCCTTGCAAGTCAAGATTATGAAATCCTTATTCGGAGACTATAAAACTCCAACTATGGCCGAATGCGAGGCGCTCGGTCGAGAAATAGGACTGCCCAAACGTGTAGTGCAAGTTTGGTTCCAAAATGCACGTGCCAAAGAGAAGAAGGCGCGCCTGGCCGCCGGACTGATGGAGGTGTCCGATGCGCCGCCGCCGGAGGAGTGTCGAGTGTGTGACTTCAAATACAGTCACAAATACTCGGTGCAGGACCATGTGTTCACGCGTGGTCACATCGCTGCTGTACGCGCGCGGCTCGAAAGTGGTGCGGGCGGCGGCGACGACAGCACGCTCGCGCTCATGCAGATGGCGGCGCGCCTCGAGAGCGGCATGGGCGGCGATTTGCACAACGCGTTCCTGCGGCCACAGCTCGCCGGCAACGGTGAGTGTACTTGACCGCGGAGTGAGTCGCCTAGCGCTTCACAGCTCTACGCGATCCCGCATTCTCTTACGTAGAACCTCGCAGCGGCGAGCTCCGCTCGATCGCCTCATTTTAATTGTGTTCACAATAGATGAAAATATTCATATAATAGCGATTCGAGCGAAGCTCCTTTCGTGCCGTGACGGTCGTTGCTATTTTCCTATTAGTGAGTCCTTTTGTAAATAAAATTTAGATGTAACTGAAATAGCTTAAGATTTTGAATCTCTCTGTAGTGTTCGTATTTCAATATTTTTGAGATTGATCTAAACACGCAATTCAATTTGATGTCATTATAATCAGCCCGTTTCCGTCGATGGATGGACCTCTGTTATAGTACGCCAATGAATTCGCCATTAAAATCTACAGCTAATTGATAAAGTACATTATTCAAAACACTAAATGTGCGTCGAGTCGGTTCACCGATGCGAAAGGTAATAGCGGCACGTCCGCAGTCGAATCAATCTCAGAAATTATTTCGTAATTCAAATAATTACGGAACGTGGCAACAGTAAAAAACATTACACAATCTTCGAATTATAATATAAATCTGAAACCAGTGTGAAATAGATATAGTTATGTAGGTATATGAGCATTTTTTGTGCTTCTCGCTGGTACGTTTGGTTGCGCTTCGGCACAGACACGTGTTGATGCGTTGTCATCGCCACGAGAGGCGGGCTGCGGGCCCAACCACGCTGGCGCGGTGCAGCGGTGGGCGGCCGCTCTATGTTATATACAAATGCAAACGATGCACAACAATGGTAGGAGTTAGGACGCGTGAAGGACGTCGATATCTAATGGAACCGATCTGGCGCACATGCATTTCGCTCCACATGAATAATCAATTATTTAAATGACGCCAATCAAGACTTTCTCGGAAAGAACACATCAGCGTCCATTGTTTCCTTGGTTTTACTACCTTATTACACTAAGTTTGGTCCACATATTGAAAACCAAACACTACAGAGAGATATAGACTAGTAATCTGTTGCATAATATTATTCTTCCTAGTTATTCGTATTTAAAACTCCTATTAGGTTATTAGCGACATGTCGATTGTTGTAGGATTGTAATGAAAACCAAATTATATATTTTAGAGAATTTAAATGTTTTAGTTATAATTGTGTAAAGTCATAGCGAAGCCTGAAGTCTATAATTATTTAAAATAAGGTGCCTTGTAGGATCCAAGTGTTTTGTAAATTATTTTCTCTTGAGCTCCACTGTAAATAGTTAAAAGTATACTACTAGTTATAACTATGTGCACTGTAAAATTGTTGTCGCCGATAGCTGTTCGTATTTGTATTTCGATAGTTCTTATCTATAGGTAGATATAAATATATTATTTGTTTCGTAGAGGCATCTTAAGAACTTGTGATATAAATGTATCTAATTAGTTTACTTCGCATATCTTTCGCAAAGGTCTCGGTTAAGGGCACGAGCCTAAAAGATCAAAAATACATACAGACATAACATTAAAGTTTGTCGGTTTTTACATAATAATGAATGCTTAGCTATCGTGTGGGGTCCCGGTTGCAGTTTGTGCTATTCTTTCGTGACATTTACATATAAGTGGGTCTCGATTGGGGCGTTAGGCGATATGCAAATATTTTCTTCAAATTTGAATGTTGCGTAAGTCGTGGGGCGCACGAGCTGTGAGCGCATGCGCCCGCGCCCCTGCGCACGCGCCGCGGGAGCTACGCTATGCCCTTATTTATTATGTGGAAATTTTCGCTAGAGACTCGTAAACACCTTGATACGTCTCTATTGATCTTTCAAATGCAAATGTCTCAGTCCGTCGGTAAAGAAAATAATACGTGTTGTTTACTATTTCTTGAATACATACCACAGCATTCTGGTATTTATATTGAGCATGTTTATTTGCATATCGCTTTTTGTTGATTTTATTTATTTTTGTTATGTTTGTATTTATTTTTGTTCCATAGTTTTAACTATTATCTCGTTGGACACGTAGATCTTCTTTCAGCCGTATTGACATCAAGGCGACTGATGCACCTTGATATTGAATTTGCCTCCAACCCGACTTCCAATAATTTTATTTTAATTTGTATAATTTAATTTTTAATCTAATTTTATGCGATCTGCATTTACTGTTATTCAGATGACATTATTCTAAATAGTTATTTGAAACAAAGTCCAGTGCCAGCCAGTGAAAGAATTCTTTGGTATTTGCGGCGTTGACTCGACCGCCTAGGAAAAGATTGAAAGTCTTGTAAACTGATAGTATTATTATAATTATTATCTACAGTTATTATATTTGCAGAATTCGTTGAAATAAATGCAATATTTATATTATTGAATTATGTTTTTTTTTTTGTTTTTTGTTTCCTTGGTTCCTTTATCCTGAGTTTGTTTTTTTGTTTGCTTTTGTTGGAGAACATTTATGCGGAATGCAATGTGAGGTAACAAAGACTGTTTAAACAAAGCTGATATTTTTTGGTAGAAAGTGTCTGACTCTCGGGGAGTTAACGAATTATTTAAGGGCAGGTGAACATTGAAGATAATTTGAAATGTAAAGTAACTCACGCAGATAGTGACAATGACGTTGTAAAACTCATACCTGGGCCTTAAAACAAAGATTGCTTTATTTTACAAAAGCTATTGTTACAAAAGATTTTAAATTTTTAGGGGTTATGTATTTCAAGGCTCTATCTATGGGGGGTAGTTTTAAAGTGATTCATCACTTAACTTTTCACATATTCTTTGTACTTAACTGAGGACAAACAGATTGCTAGTTTATACATATAGTTAAGAAATGATGTGAGTACATTAGTTAAGAAAACGATCGTGACGGCACGTCGCGCTAGTCCCTACGCTAGTTTCTGTGTGTTAATTATATCATCCACATATCAGCACATTTTTTACTAAACATAGCTTAACAGTATAAACTTTTATAATTTCTTTAAAGTAAAATAAAAAAATATTAAGAAATTATATTTGATAGTCTTAACATTATCTTATGTAGTGATGTTAGATATTTCAAGTACAAGGGTCTTAGTAAAGAAATAATTACAGAATTGAGATGCAGGCCAAAACCATTTCAGACGATTCCTCTGAACACTATGAGATGGCTGCATAGTACTGAAATAAAGGCCAAATACATCTGCGGCCACGTGGCTACACCACCAACCCTACTGGGACAAAAAGCTACGTAAGACAGCAAAAAATCTAGAAAATTGCACTCTCACGAAAAACGCATTGCTCGTATAAAATGTTTCCTTTTTTTTGATACATAATTATTTTCATTTTTATATTTTTTTTATTATACAAATTTATTTAGGTTTATAGGTATGTATCGTATTTTGAAATAGGTTATGCATGCTGTACGACGACCGGATTAAGAACTGAAGAATTTGAGTGGCTGTCCAGGTGCTATGTAAAAACTAAATTCGCCTATAGTTATTGAAGTAGGTATGATCGTACATCACTACTGAACAAAGAAGGTCCGCTTCTCATACAGAAAAGGTTTCAGCATTAATCACCATGCTTGCTCAAGCCGGAATGGCGATTTCGAACTTATGGTTAAAAATTATAAGTCCCTGAGAGAGACTGGCGTTGTTTTTTTATCGTATGTCATTGGTATTCACATATTTGATACATATATAAAACGCAAAAAGTCACATTGGTACTTGTCATGTTCGAATCAGCACTCTTACGAATGAGATATGGGTGTCTTAACCTACGGGCCACCTCAAAATATTGGTATATAGAAAATCTGAATTCCCAATACTCAAGAAAGGTACTTAGGTACATATACTTAAATCACCACCCACTCACACGAGAAAACAATATCACCAAAACCTTGATATAAGTATTTACAATACGATTTTTTAACCCACCCACTCTCTGGTTTAAGTTACTTTGAAAAAAAATATTAAATTACAAAAGTACAAAGGAAATATTGAACTGGAATAAAAAAGGTTCCGTTAGCGACCTGGCTAATTATTTCATTGTAAATCACAATAATATAGGACGTGCTTACCATAAAAATAAGACTTTTTGTTGAACTCACAATAGGATTTTTTATGAAATCGATATCATGTCGGTAAGTAGGTAGATCATTGAAGCGATGTTATAGATTGTTAGTGATCACCGAAAAAAATGGGCCCGTTAGTAGATGGTTTGAATTAAGGAAAATGTGTACAGATATCTGTTAGTTCAATAGAAAAACAAAAGTGCTATAGGTAAATGTATCAAATAATATAATTATTGATCCATAAGCAGTTTAAATGGATATCAGTCGTAATTATGTAGGTTTTATTATACCATTTCGCAAAAGCGTAAGCAAAAAGACGGAATGTAACGTTTGCGAATAAAAATATCAACATGTGGGAATTTAAAATGAGTCTTAAAGTAATTCTAATTATTATTTTATCATAAAAAGATTAGAAACAACGAATTCTATCCAGAAAATAGATGAAAATGTTACCAATCTAAAATGAAACTCTAACAACACATAAAAAGATTAGAAACAAAGAATTCTGTCCAGAAAAAAGAAGACGAAAATGTTACCATCCTAAAATAAAATTCTAAAAACCATAAACAACACGTTGCTACGATTACGTAGTACGTAGCAATGCTACGCCAGTCTACTACGTTATCTACGGACTACGAAAACTTAAACTCCTAAAACTAATTACCGTAGGTGAGCATTCTCTAATTCTAGTTAATAACACAACCGAAACTGAATTTAAATAATTTAAACTATATCGTTTCGGCGTCAGGTATAAAATCATTGAAAAAAATTTACGTCTCTGTAAAATGCAATCTTACGTAGGTATATCAAAAATCTAAAAGGTGCTGTCATATTAATGTGAGTGGCAATTGACTGATTCTGAAATGACGAAAGAGGCCAAGGTCACAAATTGTCCAAATAAAGGATCACGTACCAATTTTTTTAATCCCTTGCATCTGTTAAATTAGATCACAAACAACCTTTGACGTGACTTCTAAGATTTTTGTAAAAAATACTTAAAATCAGGTTATCACGTACCTATACATTTAGATAGGTACGTTACGCTCGTACGGTTTGTTTTTTATTTATAATCTGTTATTATAATTTTATACACAATTTAGTAATGTCAGATTAGGCCATGAAGTTAGCGATAAATGAAACGACACGAAGTTAGCAGAACAATGTAGCATTGGCATGTTTCCTATAACGGAGATAGTATGAGATATTCTCTCATAAGTTAGAAAGAGACAACATCAGTTTTAGAAATGTTATGGAACAAACAAAATGTCAATATAAAATTGCGATGAATGTTGATACTTTTTACGCGCAAGAGCAGATTTTTAAATAATTAGAACATGATACCTACTAGGTGCCTACTCGAGTTATACAAACACCTCATCATTAGGCATGCGCTTACGTCGATAGACGTAAGATAGATTTTGGAATTCGACATTATAAATTAAGTCTACTAAAAATAAAAAATAAACATAACCATTTGTATAACACGTGGGCGTAGTATAATTTGATAGATCATGATTAGATACCTACCAAACTGTTGAATAGGTTTGATTTAAAACTAACATTAAAACAAATGTCAAATACAAATGAGACATAAATATCGTACTTATAAATGTTCCATATAAAATGGTATAAATAAATTCTATTTATTGATATTGCTAATCTAATGGAACATCTATATCCGTTTCGAATATTTTAACAGTAGTTTTTAGTAGAACTTGGCGCAGCTAACTTCAAATAAATAGTCGATTTTATAATCAGGTCCTGGTTTAAATTAACGCATATAATTATTATTATACGAAATCGTTAAACTTAGAACGGGAGAGATCATCTTCTAGTAAATGATGATGAGACTGCTTAGTTATCAGTCTTATTTTGCAAAAATTGCCACCCCTTTTACACAAAACCGGCTGTCAAAACAACACAATTGCTCCTACCTTATATTCAACTAAAATGATCTAACCTTTCTCCCGCCACGCTACATTCGAGGCCCGACATCATTCGTAAATGTTCAATAGCGTCGGTTTTACGCGAATTTCGTAAGTAACCGTTGCAGCCGCCGATAAATGATCACAGAATGCTTTGTTAACACCAAATCTTCACGGCAAATCGTGTTTTCGCTCGGTGTAAAGATTTACTGAATAGAATATGCTATTACAATTGTACGCTGTCGCTTAATAAAAGGATGAAACATGAATGATATTACGCGAAGAGATTTCACGTTCAATGTCAAATTTGACAGAAACGAAAAAAAAACAGCACTATTCTTAACAGCCAGTGAAATCAAAGAATGGAGAGCTCGTTACATAGATTTAATCACGATAAGGTTCTCGTAGTTCGGTAGCATCGTTACCAATTGTTAAGTAGGTATTTATTACCGATGATATCGATGGATGATCTGCAAATCTGTCGAAACAATAATGAGTGTGTGAGGCCGGCAGGAGGGGAGGGTCGCCAGCACGCCCTGGAGTCACGTCGAGGCGTCCCAACCCATTACCCGCTCCAAACCGTATCGACAAATAACCGCCAATTATTGGATCGCTCTACAATCTTTTTACAATTTCTTCTCCGTCGGACGTTATTATATTTCTATTAAGCCTTTTTTGTAATCAAACTACTAATGATTCGATTCCATTTCCTAGGCCGACGTGCCGCCTTCGCAATGTTAATGACACTACGTAATTAGATCCGGATGGTTTGAGGGCGTTGACTCTACTGCGGTGCCCGACCGGTAGATAATGGCAAAGTGTCAATTTTACTAAAAATATGGTAATTTACAACGGACGCCATTTTGTCTCTTCAAAGTTGAGACAACAACGTCGCGTCGGTTGATAATGAGTTGACACCGTTAAGAATGATGTAGGAAATGTTTGTGACACGATCTGTTGAGTTCTGACACTAAATGATATAAAACATAGAAGCATTATTATACATCACATACCTATCTAAATTACTACAATCCGCCTTACTACAAATGGCGACCTATTTACTACATCTGTAGATTAATATAATTAATATATTAGAGGGCCTTCAAAGGTAGGTCTGGCGACCAAAAGGGCTAATTATAGCGCAGGTATATTACTCTAAATTTTCCCTACCACAAAATACTTATAACTGGTGAGTACTTATATTACGAGTACAGATTTACCATAATTGGCGAAAAATGCATGTCAAGTACTTACACCTCAAACGAAAATCAGTTGCAGTTAATACTAGTTTTATTGTAACTACTAACTTTTCTCTAAGGTAAATTGCGTCACATTATATTTTATTTAAATGTGTGACGTGTTTGGGAAATTCCTAATTTATTGATAGGTAAAACTAATT